CATATTTATAGAGATGTATAGCGCGTAATATACCTCAGATGCCTGTCTTTGAAGCCGCCATAAAAAGACGGCAGCGTGTGCCTGACGGTTCAACGCACCCAACGTCGCCGCTCGATAAAGCATTTTGATGGCCGAGGTCGCCGAAAGTAGGAGAAAAGATGCCGGGAACTTTGGTCGTCAGCGGATATTCGAGGCCACGACTGCATCGCTGCGGCAAACTTTCTCGTTAGCGTCGCCGGGGTTTCAGACGGCAATCCCGCTCGCGGTGATGCGTGCCGCTAAGGGTCGTAAAACGGGAGCTATCGTCTTGGAAGGAGAACATTTTCTCCGCAGTAAATACTGTGTCGGAGAGTTAGTTCCATCCGCGCAGCTTGTTCTTGCAGTCGCCCAAATTGTATAACGCTGGAGATGGGTAGACTATTACCGGAACCGCAATGCTCTCGTCGTTTATTTATTTATTTTTTAAATGTGCATTCAGAAACGTGACTCGGCGGCGATTATACCACTGCCGGTAAAGTATGTTTGTATAAATGTGCACGTGCTACAGGTCACCGTTTCCGTGCGGTGTTCTGGAAAGCGCACGGTGTCCATCGTTTTAATAACAAGTTTTTTTTTTTTTTTTAGTTTTTTGTTTTAGCCTGATTTTGTTTTATAAACTTTGCAGGTTTGTTCGCTAAACGGGCGAACTTCAATTTTTGGGGACTGTACGACGTAAAAGTTGTCTGTTGGTGTCACAACTGAAACACGTTTTCGGGTTCACTCCCACCGTGTTTTTGGGTTAGACACAAATGCCCGTGAAATTTCGATGCAGTCAAGAATACACAGCTCTGAACTTGTAATGCCACCAAGTAACCGAAGTACCCGTTCATCCGAACGTAACAGTTTATTCGTGGTAGCATTAAAACTTTGTAACACGAATGGCGTAAGACCATGAGAATGTGAAAGTGGATCGAAAAACATTTTCATTGGAGTTGACATTAATTCAACACTTTATAAAAAAGTTTTAGTTCTGCGAGTGCTCCTGGAACTAAAATGTGTTTGCGGAGGGATTCACAAGCGCTGAGCGCTGTTCAGACCTTGGGGTTTCTCCAGTTGCCTGGTGAGCTCGACGCACGTAAAGACTTGTCGTCAAATTTAAAAGAGAAATGGAATGAACTATGTTTTAGTATATTTTTTGAGACATTGGCATACTAAATGCACTGGAAGTTTTCAACGCGTGTTTTCGGAGTCTATACTCGGCGACAACTTTTCTTGGCAATGCAGTGGAAGGTACGTCCCGCGTCCCCTCTCCCATTCTGAGTGTACGCAGGCTCTCCTCCTCTCCCCGGAAGGGTGAGCATGGTAGGATAGTCTAAACCATTCCCTATCTTAAATTTGCCCTAACGCATGCCCAACAACACCAACAAAAAGATTTTGAGCGGCGTTTTTATTTTTATTTATTTTAGGTATACTGTTAACCCGTTAGGGTTGTTACAGGGGTGCACAAGGCACGAGAATACATATGACCAAATACAAAAAGAAACAAGGACACTGTATCAACAACAATTCAAACATACAAAAATAGCGCTTGACATTGAATTTATAAATCGTCAAACAGCGACGAAGCAAAGACATCACACAATAACATCACAATTTTCTCATGATTATACGTGAATAGGAAATACTAAGGATTCGATAGATATCATTGAATTGAAAAAGGTTCAGAATGCTTTTTTCAAACAAGGTTAGTGTATTTGCTGTTGTTAATTCTTGTGGTAGGCTGTTCCAATCAGTTATCGTTCTTGGAAAAAAGGAGTATTTATATGCATCAATATTTGCCGTATCTATTTCGTAGTGGTTTAAGTGGTTGCCTCTGAGAGGCCTGATCTGCCGAGCAACTATGTAAGGGTCCGTATTAAAATTAAATTGGCCATTTTGTAGCATATAAAAGAATTTAAGGCGTGCTATTTTTCTACGGTCACAGAGCGTTGGAAGGTTGAGATAGTTAAGCATTTCCTGTACTGATTCTGTTCTCTGATATCTCGACAATATAAATCTGGCTGCCATCCTTTGTATTTTTTCTAGTTTATTTATCTGATAGGCTCTAAAAGGATTCCAAATTATAGAAACGTACTCTAGAGTAGGCCGTATTAGTGCTTTATATGCAGTTAGTCTTGTCTCAGGGGGAGCGAGCTTGAGATTGCGCTTGAGATACCAGAGTTTTTTCCTAGCAGCTGAGCACATATTGTCAACGTGAGTTTTCCAGCTTAAGTTTGATGATATGGTAAGGCCAAGATATTTAAACTCGTTCACCTGTACTAAAGGTTCGTTTCCAAGCTTGTATACGAATGGTAAAATATTTTGTTTTTTGTTAGTTATAGTACAATGTATAGTTTTAGTTAAGTTAATTTTCATTTTTGACTCCTTACACCATTTTTCTACTGTCTGCAGTGCCGAATTAAGCCGGACCTGATCATCGTGGCAAGAGATAACTGAATACAACAAGCAGTCATCTGCAAACAGGCGCACCGCAATAGAGGGTCCTATATTTTCCACTATATCGTTTATATAGCACAAGAATAAAACAGGTCCCAAAACGGATCCCTGCGGAACGCCCGAGGGAACGCGGACATAACAAGAGTTTGTTTTACTTATTTCTACAAATTGTTTTCTATTTGTAAGGTAGGCCTTGATCCACAGGATAACTTTATGGTTTATACCCAGTTTCAGTAATTTATTTATAAGTTCAGGATGGGGTACTCGGTCGAAAGCTTTCGATAGATCTAGGCATAAGGCATCGATCTGCCCTCTGTTGTTCATAGACGTGGCGAAGTCATGCAATGTTTCTGTAAGCTGGGTCACAGTGGAGAGGGATTTTCGAAATCCATGCTGGTTCGAAAGAAAGATATTCGAATGTTCTAAAAACTTAAACAACTCCTTTGAAACAATGTGCTCTAGTAGTTTGCAACATGCACACGTGAGGGAAATGGGACGATAATTTTCAACTGAATGTTTATCTCCAGATTTATAAACTGGAACGACCCTCGCTGATAACCAATCTAATGGTACTTCGCAATTTACTAGACTAGCAGTAAAAATAACAAAAAGATATTTTGAGACCCACTCGGCGTAGCGCCTTAGGAAGGTATTGGGTATTTCGTCTGGACCGACTGCTCTCTTTGTGTCCATATCTCATAGTAGCGCAAAGATACCCTCTTCTGTAACTTGCAATTCTGGCATATTCGACTGTGACTCATGACTAAATTCACCAGCATTTTCGGCGAGGTCACAATTGTCTAAGAAAACTGACTGAAAGAAATCATTAAACGAATTCGCCATTTCACCTGGATCAGTGATGACATGATTGTCATGAGCCACGTACTGCACACTATCTCTCGACGGCGCGAGGTGACGCCAAAACCTACGAGGTGATGTTCTTATAAATTCAGGCATGACCTCAGTAAAGTATCGTTCCTTTGCAGATTTTAGTTTATCTTTAAGAATACGAGATATCTCTTGGATTGTAGTTTTATTACGCGGCTTTTTCTTTCGTTGACGTGCTATTCTACGCTTGAGATGAATTATCTCTCTCGTTACCCAGGGGTTTTGCTTTGCAACACGTTTCACTTTTTTTGGAACGAACTTATCAAGACAGTAAAGTATTATCTTTTTGAATTGATTCCACAACTGGTTCACGTCTTGTATATCTACGAAAGAAGATATACAAGACGTGAACCAGTTGTCCTTACAGCCGCCTTTTAGAAGGAATCAGAATTTAAAAAAAAAAAAAAAGGATGGCAGCCTGCCCAAACACAGCTTACCCACTGGCCCTAGCATACCTGACTCTTGACCACTGCTGACGACTCGAGGTAAACGGGTTTTGTTTTGATATAATTTCCCAGGTTGTGGGTAACCGCCACGTGCCGTGACGAAATTTGGGCCTAGCCTCAAATACCCATCTGTACTCACATTCACTGCCATGTGCACGTCAACAAAAATAATGGCAGCGCCAAGCTCTACACAATACATTCACAGTCCCTACAGTTCTAAACATGAAACTGAAAAAGTAGGCAGTAGGCCAGTTTTACCGAAGCTGCCACTACTGTGTGAAACTTTGTGTACCGATGCAGTCAAAGTTAGAAGCCCGCGCGTTTGTTCACACTATGAGTTCATCAAATCCAGGCATGCACAACCCTCACTACTTCACAATCGCCGCATGTCCTACTCAGCGTCCTCAGCTTCGATCACTGCAACTCCTTTAACATACTTCCTGTTGCGAGGTCTTTTGGTAGGGTAATTCAATGAAAACAACAACAACACAGGCAGCATGTTGTAACAACATGGTTCTTAAAGTGACCGAGTCTCTACGTATTCCTGGCACGATTGTGGCTGTACTACCTGGCTGCAATAGACCTTTTGCCAAATTACCCAAGCATCAAAAAGAATGCCGGGAACGTAGGTACGCGCGCTGCGCGTGATGGCGTCTTCAGCTCTAACTGTTCGAAAGCAAAAATCTAAAACAAAGGGCACTTCCCACGCGCGTTTTGCGGTCGCTTTATTTTGGTTATTTACTTCGAATCTTTTCTATAGAAGGCGAGCACGTGTAGCGCGTGTACCTACGTTCCCAACATCGTTTTCGACACTTGGGTAATTTAGCGGAAGGTCTAGTCAAACTAACACCGTCATCAATACTCGAAGCGTGCTTCGCCGCATCACTCCGCGGTTAAACGGCAAACCCAGCTTGCCGTATCGTACGACGCCAAGTGTACTCTTTTTTCATACGCGTGTGCAGATACAAAATACGCATGCATATGACAAATATCGAGTTATGTAGTTACGAAATGTAATACACCGTTCCGTAACTACGGCACAAGCACGCCCGTGAAATAACACGCCTCAGTATATTTTTTTTTAACTTTTGTTTTAAAACGTTTTAGAAGAGTTAGCGACCCCGATAGGATACCATTTATATAGAACAGGACTTGTCGAACGGGTGACAGCAGGCAGAGAATCCAACTTACCCGCACCGAGCGCGTCTCCCAGGGAACCGGGACAGAGCGGCCGGCGGCGCCCCGGCGTCGGACAGAAACTTTGCGAAGGTGCGTTTCTACGGAGAGAGCTTTCCCCGGTCGCCGCGCGCCGGTCCGCTCGTAGTTTGATCGAGCGCCGAGAGAGGGCGGCACTCAAAACAGGAAGCGGTCACCGGAAGTGGCGTCACGCGCCGGCGTATACGGGTAGAGGTATGCGTGTGTAAACGTGCGCGCGAGGCGCGGGCTCTCTCATATCCGCCGTTCTCACGTCGCCGGTCGTTTAATCGCTAATTTGTTTCGCCTGTTTTGTTTGGATTTCTACTTAATCACCCGGGCAAGCGGATACGCCCCACAGACGAAGGCCGAACTGTAAATTGGAACACACGTCGTTGCCTCGGTCGCTTGTTTTGCTCGCATTTTTTGCTTGGTTATTCGCGGTTTCAATTTTTGGTTTTTGAACACTTCGCTTTTTTTCTTCTTTTTTTCATCGGTTTAATTAACATAAAATACGATCGGCGTTAGTCAGAACGAGTTTGTTTCTTGTCGTCAATTAAACTCTGACGCGTGCCCTTCGTAATTTAAGCTTGCCAGGGGCGTTTCGATTCCGTTTAAATCGATAACATCCAGGCGCTGTTGTCACTTCTATCGAGCCCCGGGTTAATTATTCAGCCCCAAATTCGTCTCCGGTGGAATACGTCAAAGCATTCATTAACGCGCTCTATAGAGACCTATAGAAACTCCCATGGATTATCGCTGAATGAGGAGATTGACTCCATTGTATTGAACCTCGCTGATCCCTACAGCCGCCTTTGAAAGAGGCGGTATTTTGCACCGGCAGGTCAGGATGCTGTAGGGCATCAATGACGCGCACGCTGCTGGAATAACTGCCGCTCTGTTTACGAACTGGGCTATAATTTTCTCGGGGCATCTATAATTTACTCCGAGCTGGCGTTCATCCCTCATGAGCTACGGGATGAATCTACAAAATGACAAAACCGAGAAGTAACAATAAAAATATATCTGATTTAAATTCTGAACAGGCGAAATGTCAGGTTCCGACTCTTACCGCGGACAACAGCTTAGCGTCAGACCGTCATGCCAGCCTTTGCGCCCTCTGGTATATCAGAATGATGCAGTCATCTACCTTGTCAATTCTATATATCACTTAGTAGCGTATTCGAATAAATTCTGTAATTTTTCGTTACGATCCGAAGCCCATGAGAGAGAGAACAAGGTCTCCGGCGGACTATCTTTTTTTTTTTTTTTTCGTAATGCACGCATTGTTATTTTATTTTTTTTCATGCATATAAAACGATGGTATTCCAAAAACACTGCGGCGTTAAATTGATCAACGAATCTATTTATATGTATAGAAATTGAGGGATGGGGTGCAGACGAGAGGGAGTGGGGACGCCAGAACATCGAGCTCTGGTTGGACTGATTAATCGGTAGGCACAAAGCCTTTGTTTCTACTCAATCTTATAACACCGAACGTCAACGCCGGGCGCTCGGAGTTTGCCTTCGAACGTGTTCAAAGAGTGAGTAGAGAGACAAAGACAGCTAGCTTTGTGTCAACCCACTAATCATTCCAACTACAGCTCGGTGTTCTGATGTCCCAACACGCTATCGAAGCCTAAATAAAGCCCATTGATGTCTTACAAGTAGCGCCGAATGTGACAATGCACGAGGCGCATGCTTCGGGCCAGCTTTTGGAAGCAAATGGCGGCGCAGCACCCGCTCGTTGCACGTACCTCGCGCGTTCGCGGAACAATGGTTGGTGGTGCTCGTAAGAAACGATAAGCGCGAGTTTTGTTAAGGGGCTTTAGAGAGTTTTAGTAGATCGTTCCCATGACTCCGATAACGATACCCGATACTCCGCCACCGCCTCCCTTGCGCTTGCATAGTATCGTTATCGGGGCCATCGGAGGTATCGGAACGATCTACTAAAACTCTCTTTTATCAAAGCCAATTTGATTTCGCGTGAGGGTCAGGCAACCTTCGGAAGCGGCGCAGAGACACGCCGGGTGCGTAGTCACGTGACATTTTCTCGGGGCTCGATTGGCTGGGTTTGGCTCGTGTACGTCATCCGTGGTCCATCATAAGGTGAAACGATATGTAGAAAACTGGGCTGCCTTTCGGAAAGGAAGAAAAAACGAAAAAAAGAAAAGAAACCCGAGCTGTTGCGTGAAGACTCAATCCGTCGTTTAGAAAATACGCCAACCGTGACAGGGAACAACTCAAACAAGATGACGAAGGCATTACTCAAGATCCCAACAGGGCTCTGGTGGAATGCGCGGTTGCAGACATGCTGGATACAGAGTGTCCGGGTATTCTCCCCGCTTGGAGCTCTCGTCGGCCTTTCTTCCAGTGACAACCGCAGGAACTGCTCGCAGGGGAGCATCTTGAGAAGTGGGAGGGCCAGCTCGATATGTTTATCCCGGGGCCAGTCTAAAAACAGACTCGTCGGGATTTTCGTCTCTTTTTTTGTTGTTGTTGCTATTCTTCTTCCGGTTCCCTCCGCCATCTTCTTCGTTAGTCGTGTGTTCTCTGGGAGCAGCTCGGCGAGCTAGAACCTCGTCAATAAACATATCTCCGTTTGGACCCTATAGCTTACGGAACCGCCAGTAGAGTGTTGTGCTAAGATCAAAATTTTGGCTTAGCTAAGAAGGTGCTAAAGATTTATTTCGTTGGTTTTGGTGTTTTTTTTTTTTCTTCAAGATGATGTTGCTATTTAGTTTGTTTTTACCGCACCGTATTGTTATTCAAAGACCAGTGAGGACTGTTTCCTTAACTTTTGGAATTGTACCAGACTTTCGCTCGCGAGAGACGAGGTTTCTTCGTTTATCTTTTCTACTTTCTTTTTTAACTGTGGGTTTGGGGGGGGGGGGGGGGGGGGGAGAGAGAGAGAGAGAGAGTGAGTGCGAGGTATCTTTGCTTTTATTGGCGGCCTGCGCGAACTACAGGAGGCGCTTTTCTAGCTATCATCATTACTGTTTGTGACGTAGTGAGCAGAAGAGAGTGTAGACGGCGGCACAGATTCCTCGGTTCGTCAGCTCGCTTCATGTGTTGTTTAAGTAACGCTACGAAACCTCTTTCACGCGTTGTTTTCTTCGGTGAGGTGATACTTGTGGTGTGACATTTTATCGTAGCTTTTTATCATGTCGAAGCTCCGGGATGGTGACATACTGTTTCCTATGAAAGTAAGAAAGCGCTGGATAATAAAGAAAGAATATCCAGCATTTTACCGCAGTATAAGAGCTATTACGATGACCACGTTGTTGGAGAACGTAATGAGAAGTGCAACAAAAGACGGAAGCCACGTTCAGTAGGGCAAGAAGTCCAGAACAAAAGGATGAAGATCGGTAGGCTTATTGACAGTGAATTGGGACGTGATTAATCATCATATCTGCTCATCACTCTCGGGTCGTAACCTTTGACGTCCCAAACACACGGACTAATTCTAATTATTATCTCAACGAGAGGAAAGTTAGGAAGGGATGCGTAATCAGGTTGGAAACTTGAGAGAGTGCAAAAACAGGCTGCACGCTCTATACAATCTGACTACAGATCGACTTCCTCGGTTACGAAACTGTTAAACGAGTGCGGGCTTGAGCCATTGGAGTTTAGAAGAAAAATAGCGCGTCCAAAGTTTCTGTTTCAGATTTTTCATGCTCTGCTAATAGATCCTAATGTTTACCTTAAACCTGTTAGCAACAGGTCGGCTCGTTTAAATTATTTTAAAAGAATTGCAAGCATGTTTTTCTAGAATTCATGTGTCTAAATACTCTTTTTTCGTTAAAGCGATAAATGACTGTAGGAACAATTTCTGAACACATTTTTAGCTTTATTAACGTGTCTACATTTGAAAATACGCTTCGACCTTTTACAGCGGAGCTGTTAAGGGCTAGGTTCCCCAAGATAGTGCCCGGTACCAAAATCTTGTCGACACAAACTTTCACAAACCTCTGGACAGCTAATGCCATCTATAAGCGACGGCGGCCAGCACACAACCAGTCGGGTTGCCGTCGTCGCTCGTAGATGGCGGAAACCTTTCCAGCTATCATAGAAGAATGGATAATTGGGCGCGTTACTGGGAATTCATCGTAGGAAGCAGTGCGAAAAACAGACGAAGACGAAGAAGAAACACACGTCACAAGCGCAGTGCTCGTCACGTGTGTTTCTTCGTCCTCGCTTGTTTTGCGCGCTGTTTCCTACGCTCTTATCAGCACAATTTTAAAAGCAGCCGATTCCAGAACAGCACGTGTGTGTGTGTGTGTGTGGGTGGGTGTGGATGTGTAGCGAAGGGTGATTATTAAGACTGACCGCCGGCTTTCCTCCTCTTTCCTTTCTTCCTCCTTCCCCATCCCATGTTTCCTTTCTCTGCTCTTTTTTACGTTTCCCTCTGTTCTTCGGACGGGACATCGTCGGCGTTTTTCCCGCATGACAAACTCCGTCCTCTCTACTACTTCACGGAAATCCTCCTCCTCCTTTCGGTTTAGACTCAGGATGGGCCGCACGCGTGCCCTTTCGGGGAAAGAAGACTGGGTGCGGAAAGGGCGGCGACGAACGCAGCAGCATGAATGGGTCCGCAACCGACGTAAAGCCGCTGTCGCCTCGACTTCCACTGCGTCCATCGCTTCAGACTCCCTTGCGAAAGAAGAGCACATCGCTCGCCTGGAAAGCTGCCGCCGAGAACAGAACAGCGATGTAAACGGCACCGGCGGGCCATGGAGGCCAAACGCAAACGCGAGGCCCGGCGGCGACGACAGCACTCCACGCCGGCTGGACAGTTCCCGGGTGCGACGGCGAGGTTCCGGAGGGAGTTCGTGGAGAACCCGTTTGGCGTCACGTGCGCCTTGTGCGACCGACTCCGCCGACTCTCGTTCGCCGGAAACTTGCCAACGATCGGCGGCGTGTCGGACGAGAAGAATCGGGAAACGGGCGCGTGCGCGTCGCGGCCAAGGAGGTTAGAAGTACTAGGAGGGGGCACGTTGCAATATTGGTGAAGCCTAGTCATAAAAAGTTTAAACGATTTTGTGCCCAGCGCGACCGCAGATC